AATGTTTTGAGAATGATGAGGGCAATGAATGTACAAATGTGCTTTACACATGGATGGATGTATGGATTGTGATAAGAATTGTATGAGCCCCCAATAAAATGATTTTAAAAAAAAGAGCCATCTCAGAAACAGGAAGGGGGTCTCACTACCAGAAAGATGAAAGAGAAAGGAGTGGAGCACATACTCAGCACTGTGATCCATAAGCATCGAGCCTCCTCAATCCAGGGTACAGCTCTGAAACCAGAGGAGTGGCAGAGCAGCAGCAGCAGCAGAATCAGAAATCAAAGCACGGGCTTGCCAGCCCACAGAGCAATTGAAGCTGAGTGCTTTGGGGGCAGGAAGCTGGCTTGTAGAGTAGGGTGCCTCTGGGCACTTAATTGGGGGAGATGGGCTTGCTGCCGTACAGAACTGGAGCCATGTACTTTGGGGTTGAGGTTTACAGTGGAGTGACAGGCACTTTGGACTTTTATTGTCAGCTCTAAAAGAACTTTGTCATATTGCTAGAATAGCACAGAAGCTAGGCTAAGAGAGAAAGGCCTGCTTGTGGCCATAGCAGAGAAGAAACTGTCCTGACTGAACAACTTTGCTCTGAGCCTTTCTCACCTAAACTGTAACCTGTTAAGTTCTCTAATATGCCCATAATCATAAGTACCACCTGGGAGTACTGTATGGCCATTGAAATTAATTACCCAGCTGAAAAGTAGATTGCTGTGAGAGAGTGGCTGGTGTCAAAATGGTAAAAAGTAATGAAAGGTGGTGGTATATTCGACCTCTACAACCTGCATGGGAGCAACAGGAAGTCCATGTGGCCCCCATACCACTTAGCCAATTTATACCAAGACTTTATTTTATGACTAGAGAATGACAAAGAGTTGTATCTTAGGTGTTTTTTTTGCAAGGTTTTATGACTCATACACTACTCACCATGATAGGATGTAGAATAATATTGTTATAATCTATGCTATTGCAGTTGATCAAGTTGTCCCACAAAATTACGATCCTCAGCCCTTCAATCCAGTAACCGAACCCTGAGAGGTGTTTGCATATGTCTACCTAGTCTCTGTAACTATGTTTTATCATACACAGAAATATGAACACACACCTATACTAGGAGCTCTGGTAGCATAGTGGGTTATATGTTTGGCTGCTAACATCAAGGTCAGGAGTTCAAAATCACCACCCACTTCCCAGGAGAAAGATGAGGCGTTCTACTCCAATGACAAGTCACAGTCTCAGAAGCCCACAAGGCTAGTGTTATGCTGTCCTCCAGGATTGCTGTGCATTGGAGCTGACATGAGGGGAGTGAGTTTGGTTTTCATACACTGTCCATGCATGCACATGACCGCACACATGTCTTCCTACACACATACATGAACGGGCTTCAAAAGCTCATGGAGAAATTCTGGTTTTTAAATTCTATTTGTCCACCCACGTTTTGAAGTCCTCTTGTAAATACATCCTTACTTCCCCCTGCAACCCCACACATACTTTTTGGGTGTTACTGCTGTTACAAATTGCATGGTACAGCATCTATCCAAATTGCCCCTTCTTCTTGCATGCTTCCCATTGTCTTCACTTAGCTGGGTGTAGTCGTGCAACCTTTACCCATGTTGGGGGCTGCCACTCCTTTCACCAATGGTAGTAAGTGTCGACTATCTAGGAAGTAATCCCCCTCCTCTCCCACCCCCTCCTCGTCTCTGGTTACCCCCAAAGAAGATTGTTTTCTGCATGTAAACATATTCTTTTCATACAAGCTGGACCATCCAATAGTCGTGCATTTGTGACATATTTCCTTCAGCATAAAGCACTCCAGATTCATTCGTGCTGGAACTTGTTTTGTGGGCTCTATTCCTTAGCGTTGCACAGTGGTTGATACCACAGCCTGTAAATCTGCTCATCTACTGGTGGCCACTTAGGTTATTTCTATCTTTTTGCTATTG